TACTCTCTTTAGCGTTCACATATGTGTATATGTTTTATTAACTATTATATACTTCATTAAAATTAACAATTTAAAAGTCATTAAGCCCATAAAATGACCATAAATGCAAAAGATACCGTAGCAACATCAGTGACAACGTCATTCTGACAATAATATTTAGAATTTATGTCTTTATTTCCATATACTAGTTTGGAAAATTGAAATATTCAAATCCTAGGCATTTAATAGTTATTTCTTTTATAAAACATTTTAAAATACAGAAGTAGACTTTAATAACACTGTTACCTAACAAAATTCAGTCGTTTTATTAAACTCTGTGTGATATTAAAACCATTTAGTTTGCAGTAATATAACTTTTTGAATTAATAACTAATAACAATAATAATAAATAATAAATTACAATTTACTGTTTGCCCATTTATAAATTCCTCCGCAATAGCTGCGAAAAAGGTCTTTTTTTATATTAAAAACATTCCGACAATTTTCTTGTAAAATTATTACAAATTGGGTTTTTGGATTTTTTGGGAATTGATCGATACGTTTAACAAAAATCACCTTAACTCTCTTTTCTCTTTTATAACTGTAAAATCATTTATTTATTTATAAATGCAATAAAATTGTGAATCAGAGATTAAATAACATTATATAACTTTAGTTAGGTGTGACAGACCTTCAACAAACGGGTCATTTAGAATGTGAAATAAAAAGAAGACCCGCAATAAAAAGAAATGAAAAAGGATAATAAGCATTACTTAATATATATATTGTATTAAAATTATGACCAATTTCATAATAGTAAAACAGTAAGCTTGACCCTAAAGGGTTTTCTTTTTAACCCAATTATTCAGATATATCCTTATATTAATCAGAAAACCTAAACACTTTTAATTATACAGATACTCTTGAGCATTCCATACATTAATGTTTATTCTGCAATTCATACGACTGGTATGATCACATCACATCATAATTTAATTTACTTATAGGCGTACATGTAAGAAGGAATTTATTTGATTTAATAAAAAAAAAGGTAATGAAAAAAAGTAATGTGAGATATCGTTCACAAAAATAAATACAAAAAAATTTGTTTCATAATTTGCAATATTGTATGAAGTGACGAAATGAGAAACGTTTGAAAAAATATTGTGAGTTCGATTAATGAGTAATTACTTTAGTTTGTAGTGATATTTTCAGATAAACGTAAATGAAAAAATATATTCCACACGTCCACCAAATTAAAAAAGAAAAATGCTGCCAAAGAAATGAGTTATTTCGATGTTCACAGAACGGTTTGCATGAAAAATACTAAATAAAGCACTCTTTTATTGTCATGCAATTTAAATTTTAAGTTATCAAACTAGGTAGCAAGTTTTGTTAAAAAATTCTATTGCATAAACCAATCGAAAATCCAACGGCAAGAACACATGCAACTGACTTGTAATAAAGATACTTAAATATAATATACCTACAACTAACATTCGCCCAAGAATTAGTTATATTATATTAGATTTCTTAATTTTCGTAAAATAATTAGAATATAATAGTTAAACTGCCGAATGTTGTTGAATGTTGACCCACAGGCAATCCCATAACTTATTTTTCTTACTAGTTATTCATTTACATATGTAACTTTTAAATATAAGTATACTTTCCTTATAAAATACAACTATGAAAACGATAAATTTTGTAGTAAATTAAGAAACATAAAATGGTCAATTATTGTAAATGGTGTGAGGAAATGTATTTATGTAACAAACTGACCGGTTGTGTCACAACCATTTAAAAATCGAAACTAAGCCTTTAGACAGCTCTTCATTCATATTAATAAGACATTTGAATTTAAACTTTTCGAAGATAAAACTATATGTATCTAAAGGTTATTCATTAATTTTTAAAGATCGAAAATTCTGCTACAAAAATACATTTCCT